CAATAAAATGTAACATCTATCACTTCCTGTGACTGTTTATCACGATACCAGGTGCTCTCAGTACCACTAGTTACACCATGACAAAGTTTATTTAATTTTCACATAGCCAATTAGAAATACTTCAATTGCTGAAGGTAAGATGCCATACTGAACCCCTGACTACTACTAGTTACCAAAAAAGCATAACACTTTCCAGAATAATATAGCTGTAGCCCAAATGTCCTGGACTAAATCCAACTTAGTTAACTATCTAGCCAAACAGAGATGAAAAAAAGAGACTATATTATTTTCAAAACTCAAATGAGTAGTATCAAGTCATAATCCATTGCTATGTCACTTAAAATTAACTAAAATAGCTGAAAATAGCCATTTCGTAAATTTAGTTTTTGTTACTTGTATGAAAATTAAATAATCTGAACGTGTGCAACAACAAGAAACAGCCTTCATAAATACTAAAAAGAGGAGGAGGAAACCTGTGGAATAGAAATCATTCCTATTAACATGGAAAAGTTATTCTAGCCAGAAATTTATTTTCCTGTAGAGTAAAAAATAAAAGTTCAAAAACGTTGTCTTTAACCTGCCAAAAGCATCTCACTTTTAGAAGTGGTTACTGTTGTAACACAGCAAATTGTCAACATGCAGTTTTTCAGTTAAGTATCTGTAGAGCGAGTGCAATAATTAAATACTTTAGTAAATTATAACTAAGACACTGAACTTGTCATGGTAAATCATTTTAAAAAAAAAAAAAAAAAAAAAAAAAAAAAAAAAAAGGATCTGTGCCTGGTTATGGAAAGAGGCAAGAGTCACATGCTTATAGAAAGAGTTGCCAGGAGGCACAGATCCATATTTAAACAGAATGCCCTTTATTTTGCAATCAAAACTTAAAATAATTTAAAAACCGCTACCCACTACCATCAGGTTCACTCCAACAACTGCCAGTAGTACTGACTGTTCTTTTCTTACTAGCTGCTCTACAGAAACTAAAGTGAATGCCATAAAACTTTACCCCCCAAAATTCAGCAGAACAAACACCTCCCTTCAAAAAGCCACTCCACCACCAATAAAAAAAGTTAATGTTAATACTCTGTCACTTGATTCTAATACATTAGATATAGGCAATCCCAAAAGTTCTTTTCATCTAGCAACACTTACCAATCTACTAAATCATTAAGGCATAGTAAACACCAAAAAAGTAACATTAATTTATATTCTTGTTTAAATCTTCATAAACTACCCTACACTGTTTGGAAAAAAAAATAAAAATATTTCCAAGACTTGGTTTTGATGAGTAACCTAACAAGTTATTAAGTATATTAGTGTAATGCTCAATGTCCTAACAAAAGATTCCAGAGGCTTCAGGATTTATTTCCTGTTATTAAAGAGGCCAAACTATTCAGTTCTTTGCCCTTTATGAAAATTGGGGTTCAAAAGGTGATTTTAAGTGTGCCAATTACTAGTCGCATTTAGAATTTATGGAAGTAAGTTACTCAGCGAGCCAAAGAACAAAGACATAATACGTTGAGAAATGAGATAAGTGTTTCCTTGACTACATTCCATCTCTACTGAAGAGTTAGGACTCTGGGGACATCAAAAGCGTGCCTCTGATAAGACATTGGAATGGGTGCTATTTTTCCAACTGATGGACATGCTTGTTTCTTCAGGGCTGCAGAAGAGGCCCAATACCTCATGAACTACTGGCCAGGAAACAACCAAAGGAAAACAGAACAATCTGAAACAATGACTGAAATGCTGTAATTCGTTTTGCCAATTTTAAGAATTCCTATTTTGGTCATCTGAACTGGGAAACACTCTTACTGAAATATTTTCAAGGTTAGCAGTGGTGCATGATTTGAGAGTCAGTATTGCTTTTTGCTCACCATGTCACTATTCCAAGTTCAAAGGACTTCAGTTATGCCACTACTCCCAAAGGCTCAGGGCAGCTTACAGGAAGAGAACAAAATTGCTTATCAAACAAGAGAATGCACAAAACTTACAAAAGCAAATTATGTATTAAAACAACACACAATAAACAATACTAAACCCCACTAAACAATATTCCAACTTAGCCTGGGTTGCTAAACGCCTACACAAACAGGAAGGTCTTCCAGCACTTCCAGCAGTTGCCTAGGCTCAAGATCCAGTGGACCTCAAGGAGGAAGGGGTTCCAGAGCTGAGAAGTCACTGCCAAAAACCACCTCCCAAGCAGTTACACAAAGCAAATTTGGCACACTGATGATACGTGCAGAAGGCTGATCTTGACTGACCTTAAAGATCACGATGGGGTGCAAGACAGATGGCAGCCCCTTAAGTAAATTTGGCCCAGACTGCTTAGGGCCTTATAAGTCAAAACCAGCATCTTAAATTGCACCTGGAAAGCTACTAGAAGCCACACTTGATAAATCACATAACCACAGTTCTTGGAAGACAGCCTCTGGAGGACTGGAATAATGTGCTCCTGGTGACCAAGCCCCATTAGAAGGTGCATTGCCATGTTCTGCACCAACTGCAGCCTTCAAGGGTAGCCCCATGTAAAATGAACTGCAATAGTCTAGCCTCCAGGTTATGTAAACACAGATCATAATGGCATCTGGAAGAGGGTCACACCCTTCTTGCCACATGGATCTGGTGAGAACAGTGTTCCTAGCCGCTGCTACTACCTGAAGATCCAGACGCAGCAGGAAATCCAGGAACGCCCCAAGGCTGCAAACTTGAGTGACAAAGGGAGGCTGAACCCCATCAATGACAAGTATCCCAATCCCACGGTGCTGGGAAAGGACTGATAGTGGGACGAGTCAGAGGAAAGAAAGACAGTATATTGACGGCACCTCACTCCAGATCTCTGCAGAATCTCACTTAGGTGACTTACACACAAGTATAAGCAGGAGGGGTGGTCAGATGGACCCCTTGCAGACCCCACAAGAAAAGTTCAAAGGAGACAGACGATGGATGGGCACTCATCCATCACCATCCTCTGGAACGTCTCCTGCACAAAACAGCAGAACCAATTGAGATTGGTTCAGTGAAAACCAACCAAGCCACATAAGTACTTGATTGGCACCTTGCAGTCAACTATATCAAACACTGCTGAAAGATCTATTGAGATTAGCAGAGCACAATTTTCCCTGTCAGTTTCTAAGTATCTTTCTATGCAAACAGGTGAACTTGGACATAATTTGGAGGAGAAAATGCAACAATCATAACTCTATTTCATAAATACTATACTCCAGTTAGAGACTTGCAAAAGACTCTCACTGCAGAATGCAATAGTCTTATCTGCCATAACAAAGATTTGGTTATTTGACTTTCCTAGACCAACAGATCTTTAGAATATATGCCTAATATTAACAGTTGCAAGACTGAAAATAAAGACGGCACAGAGATGTATTAATACCCATTTGATTTTAGTTTTAGTGGAATAATCATGTGTGATCCATGGTATTATTCTGAAACCTCCCCCAGAGGATAAAGTTCTGACCACAGAAGATGTAAATGCTTATTTGGCAGTATGCTGCTTAGGCAGGCAAAATCTATGCACCCACTAGAAAAAGTGAACTTAATTCATACAGTATTTATGCCATCATTCTGGATGGCTGCTTCCTCTACTTAGTGCATATATTGCTTCTGCATAAGGAGAAGATGAAATAAGAAAAAGATACCTATAAACTGAAGCCTGAACTAAAAGCACTATTGAAAGGTTTTATTATTTTTAACTATTAAAAGATTATTTTAGACCTTAATTACGTGCATTAACAGTCCTAAAGGCTCATGCACAAAAGTGAAAAAAATACCCATCAAACACTTGCACGCACGCCCAACTTAACTTTCATTGTAAGCATAAACAAAACGCCCACATCTCCAGAAAACAAACACATAAGAGAATGAATTCAAGATTACCAAATGCACAGCATGCCTTTTTATGCTTCCTTGCTCTTTTTCCGGAAGTACAATAAAGAGGATGAACAGATAAATATGCCCGATGTTCCACAACATGCATGCCCCACTGCCGAACACCATTCCTAGCACTCTGCTGCTTTTAGCAGACCCAAGACAACACATCTGACGTTCCTCACCATGGCTAAAAGCTTTCTAAAAAACTGAGGATGCCACTCTCACTCTTGCTGCTGCGATATACAAGATCTCGCAAAACCTGACAGTGACCAAACAAAACCTGGAACCAGCTCAAGTCCAACCATGATACACAAATCCACATACAAGCAGTGGGGGGAGGGGGGGCTGCTCCAGGGAACATTTAAACTTTGTGGTGCAAAAGAAAGTTGGGGTTTCTTCCCTACCCCCCTTCATTCTTTGCACTGGTGCATTTCCCCTTCACCCAACCAACCCCAACACAGGTGTAAAAAGCCATCCAGACTGTAAAGCCATAAGCAGGGAAGATCCATGCCTGAGCCTACAGCAGCCAGGCTTTCTGCCCCTCTGCAGGTCTACCTGCCCCAGCCAGCACCAGCCAAAAAGGCCAGCCCAGCTTCTGCACAGGTGTGGGCTATGCAGAGAGCCCCCTATCCCATACCCACTGCTTCCTTCTCCAATTCAAAGGAAGGGAGGAGATCCCTCCTTGTCCTTTCCCCTACAGCAGCCAGGCTTCCTGCCCCTGTGCAGATCTACCTACACCCACCAGCACCAGGCAAAAGGGCCAGCCCAGCCTCCTGACTGGGGTGGGCTACATACAGAGCCTCCTAACCTTTACCCCACGGCCCCCTTCTCCTCCAATAAAGCGCGGGGGGGGGGATGATCCCTCCATGTCCTTCCCCCAGGGGCCCGCCAAGCCTGCCCCATCCAGCACGTCACGGCCCCACAGCTTTGAGCTACGTCTAACCTCCCCCACTTAAAGGCCGATTCCCCCGGGCGGGCGAGGGGATGAAATCCCCGCGCGGACAGACAGGCCGCGGCACTATCACGGTTCCCGGCTCCCATCTCGGGAAGGCCCTATCCTCCCCCATGGCCTGCGTGTGCCCGAGGCCGGGGCCTGGGCGGCGGACACTCACCGCGGCGGCGGGGCGACTCCGTGCGGGCAGACCCCTTGCTCCACTTCCAGTCGCCAGGAGCGGGCGTCCCCATTAAGGCTGCGGCCGAGCAGCGGGGTACACTGCTGGTGGCCATTTTAATCCTCCTTCTCCGCCTGCCGCCGCTCCGGCTCTTCCCGATCCCCCTCCCTCCCAGGCCGGCCGCGCTCCGCCCCGCAGCCGCCGCCTTCCCGCGGGAATGCGGTACCCGCCCACGCCCGGCCGGAAGGACCGCTGCTCTGACACGGGGGAGACCCGCGCCGCTTCACGCCCCAAAGGGGCCGGTGAGGTGTGGTTCTCTTCCAGGGTGAGCAGAGGGGGCCTGTTTGAGCGTGAGGTGAAGCAACGCCCCCCTAAATCATAGACAATTCGGGTAGGAAGGTGGGGTTCAAATTACACTTTGATTCTCAGGGGGGTTTAACATCAAGTTAAACTTTCATTATTAGCAAGTCCACCTAAGTGACCCCTCCCCCAGGTTAGATAAGGTTTTTGATATATTCTATTAAACTAACTCAGATAGTTGGAACAGTTCTTCTCCACAAGATTTTGGGCACAAACACCCTTCAGGTTATCTTACAGGAGGGCTCTGGTCTCTTATGCCCCCCCAGCTTCCCTGTAATTCAGACCCCTAGCCCAGTGGTTTCTCCACCTGTGGGTCAGGAGAATGTATGAAAGGGTGGCAGACAATGTTTAAAAAATGGATTCTCCTTTAAAGGAGAAAAGTGGGAAACTGTGGCTTTTCCCTCACAGGCTGGCAGAGTCCAGCCTGCAAGGGGCTGCTTGGGCCTCACCCTGAACACATCCATCCTATAGCCTGCCCACCTGGCTTCCACCTGCCACACAATCATCGGGCCTTGCTGAATAGGTTCTGGACAGGGCAAGGTCTGCGTGCAGCCAACCTCCACCTTTGGGCTCCGAGACAATCCAGACCAGAGCTGTGGCAAAACACATCGCATATTGTCAATGACTGCCCATTGACCAAGTTCAGTGGCAGGCTACAGGAACTGCACAGGGCCGCTGAGAACACTATCACATGGCTCGGCAATTACACAGGCTGACTGATCTAACCTTCCCTTGCTGCAACTTGAAACCAATCCCTGGGGTGTCAAGTCCTGGGGGTCCTTGAAGTTAGAACATGCTCTGAGCAGTTGCTGGTTAAGGATTAATGCCATTTCTTGCCCCTGCCGCTGTAGCTTGCTGCTAGAAGGCTAAGGAGCAGAGGTTTGACTAGAAAACAGAACACCTGGGTTGTATCCATGTTCTGGATAAAGTGTGGGGGGGAGGGCTAGAAGCTGTGCATCCTGGGATGCTGGAGGACTGCAAACGGCTTGTTTTATCTCTCTGGACCAAACTGGAGTTATCTTAACATAAGCTGGGTGGCACAGCCCAGAGGTAGCCCTCACCTAAAGTGGTGTAACTCTGAGTTGCTCAGAGGGTACTTAGTATGAGTTAGCAAGCTTCTGTTTTTTGTGCCTTTAGTATGGTCAAAGTGTGATATACAACTGCAGACTTAGACTGTCCTCTCCCTGTCCCCCAACCAAGTATTTTCCTGCTCCAGAATACATAAATAGATAAGCACTTCTAGGCTGAAATGCGTCACAGCTGTGGAGCAACAGATAACACCCAGATACCTACAAGGCACTCACCATTGAGCAGATAACTTTACTACATGCTTACATGAGTTCTTGGCCCTCTTCTTTAAACAAGGTTGAGCCTTGTTTCCTAGCCCATGAAAAGGGCCCTTTGCCTTTTACAGAGTGGTATTTGAATTCTTGAAGACAAACACTTAAAGTTGATTGTTTTAATTGTCTGCTCTTTTCTTTTTTAATCAGTTTTTCAAAGTTTATCCTCAGTTACTTAATTTATTGCCTTGATTATATTGACTTGTGAGATTTTTTTCAGTTTATTCTGGTATAGTTCAAAGATGGTGGGAAAGCTGGCTTTGGATTCAACCTATTGCACTTGATTAGCAACTTTAATTCTTAGTGAAACTGCAGTGTGTAAGTGAAGTTGACTACAGAAACCGATGTACAGTTAGTAATCAAATACCAAACCTAAAGTGAGATGGTGTAAAGAGATAAAAAACCCAAAGAGGAAAATTTAAAATTAGTCGGATAAAATTGCGTGTGAGGTGAAGTAAACAAAAGCAGGAAACTTCAAACGAATAGTGGAAGAAGCCTTCTTAAGATATAGCCTGGACTTAAAATATTTAACATTTTCTTTACAAAAGTATTTTCTTGGTTTTTTTGTGGGAGCAAGTGCATTTTTGTTTAAAAGGCTGTTAAATTAATATCAATAGTCACAAAAAAATTATGTCCTGTTCATGCATTATTGAACCAGAACAACATGTTCACCTGAAAAGTTCATATCAATTATAATTAAATAAAATATTAGATGCGTTTGCAAATTAATTTCCAGATCCTGCATGATGTTGCATAGAGAAATAGTAGCATAAAAAAACCCTTCTCATAAGTCAGACAGAAGCTCACTTCAGTGCTCAGCCATCTGCAAGGTGCAAGGTCCGGCTACAACACCAGACAACATTTCATTCAAGTACTCTGTTTAGACAGGGGATTCTTCACCAGACACAGCTGAGTGCAGAAGGCATACAGCCAGTTCCATACTCCCGCATCCAGCAAGTCATTTGGAGGGCTGGGGAAGGGGGAAACCCTGCTCCCAAGAGCTTCTTTTCAGTCATCCAAATGAAGTTAGCAGATCTCTGGAAATGCTCACCATAGCTGCTCACTTTTCTTATAAACAATCCTTTCTAAAAGTCAGTTTCATTTCAGCAAGTGAACAAAAAGACTTGAAATCTTTGGAAGACCTGGCCCCAAGAATTCATGCTGCAATAAAGAGCACATACCATGCTCATGTACCCTGCTGCTGCTAAGGAGCCAAGTCTTGCTTCCATGAAATGCAGAGAGAAATGCAGCAAGTAGGAAAAGATCCCGGAGCACTAAAAAATGTGAGCCCAACTATGTTTCCTTTAGACCTATAGAGTGGAATCCTGCTTTTTTCTAGAAGGCATCTGCTAGAACCAGCTGTACCAGCAAGAGCAAAGTTTAGTTCAAATCATGAGAATAGGCTGGCTATTAATTTATTACGTTATGCAGGATAACATTTGCTAACTCATTTCTCACAGTACTTGAATCTATTCTCATCCATACCCATGAACAACTGGCACGGAAAGAAAAATGTTTCCTGCTATTGTGATCTTGCTTACTCCAGGCAATTTGAATATAATCAGTGATAACACTTCTCTTTTTTTCTGCAGCGGAGAAAACTGTTATGCCAAGAGAGACTTACTTCCACTTCCTCACTCCTTTACCAGAGTAAACCACTTAAACTTTGCTGGTGAACAGATCTGTTATGCAACTTCTGGTAAGTATCTAAATTTCTTCATTCGTTGAATGTCAAAAAATAAAGAACATTTCAAATTTTCAAATAGACCCAATTTTGGTTTCTCTGGGGACTGAAAACACTCCACTCCTCACTCCCCAATATACACTGATGTGAATTTTGCCCTTGACCTCAATAGAAGCCTGATGAAGCATATATGTTGTTAAGGCAATAGTGAAGCAGCACAACAGTGGAAATTATTGGACAAAAAGTAGGGGTAGACAACGTCAGGAAAAGGTGTTTGTTTGTTTGTTTTTAATCAATCAAATTGACTTGTTAGAAGAAAGCAGTGCATATCCATTGCCTAACATGGAGCGGACACACAGTATAAAATTGTATAATGATGCACTTCAAACTATTCTAACTTTTCTCTTTGATTATATTCTACTCAAAAAAGTCTAGGTGTCCTACTGTTTTCTTCTAATAGAAATGGTGGCAGCATTCAGCACAGGCCTATAATTAGGAAAGGAGCTGTGTTAAGACCAGTGGCTAGGAGCTGTATATGCATGCAGTTCATGTTACACACTACACTTAACAAATTCCTCTGTCCTCTTCCCACCCCACTCCCCCAGAAAGTAAGAATCTGCAAAGTTATGATAGTGTGTTATGTAGTTTTATCAAAAGGATATCCACAATGTCAGACACAATTTGGCCCTTTCAGGAATAATTATTCCAGAGTATGCCAAGGGAAAACACAATTTGTGCTTATCGTAATCTGAGTGCAAAATACAATCTGTGTGCACTAAATTGCAATCAAACTTTGTAACAGAAACAAGTTAGTTCTGTCATTTGTGTGTTTAATGGTACTTTAATCTTTTCACATAAGTCAATAGCAGTATGTTTTCCAGCCAATGTTAGGGTAGAGAAATCATATAGGGCAGAAACTGTTCTGTAAATCCTTTCAGCTGCAGTCAAACAAAACTGGGTAAGTAACAAAAACTCTTCCAAGCACAACAGCACTTACATGAACCATTTGGCTGCATGGAAAAATGTTGCTGTTTCTCTCTCTCCCCTTTATGCAGTAGGTTGTTCATAGCAATTTTATATATAGTCCATACATTCTAGTGAATTATCACAATTCCAGGCTGCAAAACCCATATTGAGTTATAGCAGTCACTTGTTTCCCTTCACCTCAACATGTCTCCTCTGACAGACCTCATTGTGACTAACTGTTTATCTTTCTCAGAGAATGCATGTAATGACAGCACTATAATTAGAATAAAGGGATTTGCAGTTACTTTTCCCTCTTTGCAAAGCATCTGTGCAAACAGGATTACATCAGTCTTTTTTTTTTATAAAACTTCCATGGTTTTTCATATGTAAACACCTTTGCCTATCTGATCACCACTACCTTTGACATTTGAAGTTTAACAGGAAACCAGTTCAACTGTCTACATTCAGGTGAAGCTCTCAATAGCTTTGGTAGGAATTGGGCCTTTCACAGCCCTTTTACTGCTACTACATTAACTTACCCTGCTTCATGCAATCTGGACAGTAAAACTGATTCAGTCTAGTTCTCATATACTAAACCGGATGTTTTTGCAAATCTAATTGCAGAAAAGTTATGCTGGAGCAGGACAGAGAATCAGGTTTCAAAACTCCAGCAACAATTGTGGATGGTTCTCAATCAGTGACATTTTGGAATGGTTTATTTGTTATGTGTCTGCACCCTGTGATGAGGAAAACTGACCTCAGCTTCTACATTAGGCTACCTAATAGTTTTTGTTATAAATGTTATGACCTTTTCTTTGAAAAGCTCACATTTCATTGTTTGCAAATGGCCGTTGATGGTGAGCAAGGGCAGCATGTTCATTCTTTATCCAGTTATAATTCAGCCAAATCTGAAAATAATTTAAAATAGGAGCACAAGAGGAGCAACTAAGAGAAAACATTGACAGCCTATCAAGAGAAGTAGTCACAGAACGTTCTGAGGCCAGACTGTCCCCACTGGCAAAGCAGTAGCAGGGCCACAACAGTGGAGATGCTATGGAACTGCTGGAGGAACAGAGAGAGGAGAAAAAATAAAGCAGCTTTGGATTCTCTTATACAGTTCCTGAAGGCCCAGTAATTTACTCCTATTCTCAAGGTTGCCAACCCAAGACAGTATTCATCAGCAAGGGACTTTGCCCATGCTGCAGCTGGGCACATAGACTTTGGCCAGGGGCAATCTTGCAGCACCATGCCATAGCCAGGCAATGGGAAAAAGTGATGGAGATGGCTGAGTCCCAATGCCAGCCCATCTCAGACTTGAGCTTGGTCATTTTGCCCTGCTGCTGGAAAATGCCAACTCCTGATCTATGGAATCTTTGGTAACCACTATTTAATTTGCCATTGTTCTCATCGGCTGCCAGAACCCACCCTTCCATAATAACTAATTCCTACTTAATAAATCTCCACTAGTTGCATTCTCCTTGGAGTTGTAAATAAACTAGAATTTAGTGTACTTGTTTGTGATATTGTTAAGTTTCAGTGTTCACATCATGCCAATTATTTATGGTCACCATAGGTTTCTTATTTTTAAGCTTTTTCAACAAGACTGTAGATAGTTACAAAAAATGATAAGAGAAAGTTACAGGGGTGTAGGTTGTAGCCATGTTGGTCTAAGGACATAGGCAGACAAGTTTCTTTGGGTGAATCTGATATCTTTTATTAGACCAACTTAAATAGTTGGAAAACAATTATTAAGCAAGCTTTCGGGTTCAAAAACCCTTCATCAGGCTAAGGAAGTTTCTGCAGTTAGTGTGTGCTCTTCCTAGATGGAATGAAAAGTAAAGAAGCCAGAGGCTGGGCTGATATGCATACAAGACAGGTAGTCAGTGAAAATGTAGATTGAGGAGTCAATGGGTGAGAGACAGGCTGGGGGCGGGGGAAAGAGAGAGAAGGGGGATGAATAGTGGAGAGATACCTGGGGAGTCAGATGTCAGGCAGGTTATAATGTGTCATAAATCCAATGTCTATATTTAGTCCATGATTTTTAGTATCCAGGAGGTTGATGAAGTGGAGTTCATAGGCTCATCTCTGGGAAGTGTTTTGTAAGTTTCCTTTGAGGATCAGGACTGAGAGATTGGAGAGAGAGTGGTTTTCTTGTGAGAAATGTGCCCCCACAGGTAATTGGGTATTCCTGTCTTTGATAGCTTTCCGGTGTGCAGAAAGTTAAACACTCAAAAATCAGGAAAGCCTAGATTTCTAGTTGCCTGTGAAGTCTTAATTCTGCCTCTTTTGCAGATACATTATGATAATACAGTCTTAATTGTATGATCATATTAATTTCCCCACAAGATCTGAACTTCATTCAGTCAGATGAGTGTACAAGGGAGCAGAATGAAGTTGGCATGTCCTCTTTTTTAAGTGCTTAACTGTACAGCCTAAAAATCTGTAGCATATTGTCACATGCAATATTTCTTTAGAGCAGGGGTAGGCAAAATATGGCCTGCGGGCTGAATCTGGCCTGCCAGTTGATTTTATCCAGCCCATAGGCAAGCAGCACAGGTGGCGGCTTTGGCTTCAGCCTCTGCTGGTGCTGCGGGGGATGCTGGGTGGAAGCAGCCCTGTCCGCCTACCTGCCTGGCTCTGCAGGCAGGCCCTGGGTGAGCCATGCTCAGGTCCCTGCACCCCAACTTGGACTGGGCCAGCGGTACCCCACCTGCTTGCAGCTCAGAGCTGGCAGGAGCCACCTCGGGTGCTTGGATCGTGTGGTGGGTACTCCACACGTGCTCAGAGGCAGAGCAACTTCCCTGGCACCTCCTGGCAGGTGAAGCTCCAGTCCCAGCCACAGCCCAAGCCTTGCCTCCCATCTTGCCCCCACAGTGCTATAAGCCAGCCCAGCCATCTGCTGCCTCCTCGCTGCAGCCAATCTCCTGTCCTATCCACCCATGTGAGGCTGCCACCAGAGGCTTGAGGCTGGGACTAGGGCTCCTCCTGCTGTAAGGGGGACCCCAGGACTGTGGGTGGGTACAGCTGTAGCATGTTTATCTAAACATGGAAGCTGTAAAGAGGACTCACTGAAGCAGAAGGTCCACTTAGGCCTCCAAGAGAAGTTAAACCTTGCTAAAAGAAAGGGCTCATATTCTGAATGAGGGAAAACACTGCCATCTGGTGTCTAAATGGAAAAATGTGTCCTCACAAGTCTGCACATTTGGCCTTCATTTAAATGCCAGTGATTTGCTACAGTGTTTTGTAAAGTTTAGATTGCCTTTTTAGTGTATATGCCACATTACTTTTTTATATGCGTATGCAAGCTTCCATTTTGAAGGAAGAAACTAGTAAGTTTTATAGTACTATGTCTGAAAGTAGAAGAGAGATGGATAAACTTCAATTTTGAATATGGGAAACTTTCTGAACGCTTATGTTTTCAAACAGAAATCCATTTAAGTTGGAATAGATTCATAAGGGGTTTTTTCGGCAACGTATTCAGAAATGCAAATTTAAAAAAAAGCCAGAAATGAATTCAGTTTATTATATGACTTTTTTGTTTACCTGTGCAGTAGGACAGACCAAGTATCTGGAAAGTATTCATGAAAATGAGCAGAGAGATGAGTCTTATTATTAGGATATTCAGAATTTGACAGAAAAGTCTTGAATATATTTAAATTGCAGAACCAGCTTGGACCTTTGTATTTACTACATGAATTTTAATACTTGCTGTTTCACTGTAGAAAACAACAGCTGTCAGTGTACAATAGAAGCTCTTAGAAGATATAGAACGGAAAAAGATGTCTTTTATATTGCCTGCTGTTGGTATACCTTCAGTCTCAAGTGATATGTCAAACGTGTACGGAGAATCTCAGCATGATAGGATGAGGAAGCACTGTGTTAGTCCAAGAGATTCATTTAATTTATATTTAAGTAGTCCATCACACAAAGCTACTGGATAAGCTTGTAAAAAATAAATATTGGAGTAACATATCAAGTCCCATCACAATTGCAATCTGCTTGCCATATTAAGAATCCAATTAGCTTGTTCTTTTGATTTATACTGTTGCTCCAGTGTCAAGCAGCAACAGACTACTACAGCCTTGCAGGCCAGTTTTTCACAAAGAAAAATAAGTGATGTGTAAATGGGCATATTTAAAATATAGCTTGCTTTGGTCAGGCATGCATGTCCTCCCTCTCTCTTATCCTGCAACATAGCAGTCACAAGCCACTGGTACCCAAGCCACTGATACTCCGTTCCTTCTTTTTCCACAGAGTTCATCCTGCATATCAATGCCAGTTTCCCTCTGCCTCCAAGTATGGAGAAAAGTGAAAAGAGCAAATTCTTTTCTGCAGCTTCTTCCAAAAGATTATTGCATGGCAATATGTAACATTTCCTCAAAGAGTAAGAATTTGTTAAAGAGAGCTTTCAAAGCTATATGCAATATTGCCTTCTGATAACACTTGCTGTATTACATGCATGCCTACTTTCTTAAGCATCCAACTGACCTACATACAAATTAATTACATTTTCATGCAGCCCTACTCATGTCCGTAACATATTTGGCATAGGAGAATTTTTACCTTCCCTGGTACATCTTATGCAAAGAGACTACTGTCCACATGATATGCTAGCATAAAACTTACATAGGTGCAAACTTCTTAAGTCCCCCAGCAGGACCGTATGAAGTAATAATTCTCAACCAGGATGCCACATGCACCTCGTGTTCAGCCAGATAAGCCTAAAGCAGGCAGGAGCAGCCAGTCCTGCTGCAGCCCATCCTGGTTTGACCCCTTTAACCATACTCCTTCCAGGAAGTAGGCAGGGAAGGTGTAAATAATCCACGTGTCTCTGATTCTGGGAGGAGCATGGAGCAGGGCTGGACTGAGAAGGGCTTCAGCAGGGTTGGCCATCCCTTATCTGGCTGTGCATGGGGCAGTTTCATTTGGTTATGGCAGTGGTACCAGCCTGGTTGAAAATCATTGAGGTAAATAGAGGCAACACGGAAGTTTTCAACCAGGGTGCCACTAAATTTAAAAAAAAAGTTATGGAGGGGTTGTCCTGAATCTAAAAAGGTTGAAAACCACTGGCATTGAGGGAAGCCATTGGCTGAACACTTGTGGAAGACACCTTCAGAAGGAACATTTGGAGTTTGCTCCACAACCACTTAAGTCCATGTAGACAGACAGTCTAGCATTAGAAAAAGATAGACCTTCTTGCCCTACAGCATACCTACAAATAACTTGTGGATGAAAAGAGATTCATAGATTCATAGATTGTAGTTGGAAGGGACCACAATGGATCATCGTGTCCAACCCCCTGCCCTTGGCAGGAAAGAGGACCAAGGTCAGATGACCCCAGCCAGGTGACTGTCAAGCCTCCTCTTGAAGATCTCCAAGTTAGGTGATAGTACCACCTTTCGTGGAAGCCCATTCCAGATTCTGGCCACCCTTAGTGTAAAAAATTTCTTCCTAATGTCTAACCTAAATCTACTTTCCACTAGTTTGCACTCATGATTCCTTGTTACTCCCTGGGGTGCTCTGGTAAATAGTGCATCACCAATTCCCTGCTGTCCTCCCTTGATAAACTTATAGGCAGCTACAAGATCTCCCCTCAGTTGTCTCTTGTGCAGGCTGAAGAGATCCAGATATCTCAACCTCCCCTCGTAGGGTCTTTCACGGAGGCCACTAATCATGTGAGTGGCCCTCTGAGCCCTCCAGATTCTCTGTGTCCCTCTTGAAGTGCAGTGCCCAAAACTAGACATAGTACCCCAACTGCAGCCTGACCGATGCCGCATAGAGGGGGAGCATCACCTCCCTTGATCTGTTGGTCATGCGTCTGCTAATACACGACAAGGTGCGATTGACTATGACTCCAAGATCTCTCTCAGCCTCTGAGCTGCTGAGGAGGTCATCCCCCAACCTGTCGGTGTGCTGGGGATTACTCCTTCCGAGGTGGAGTACCTTACATTTATCTTTGTTGAATTGTATCCTATTTCATTCCGCCCATTGATCCAACCTGTCCAGGTTGGCCTGTACCTGCTCCCTGCCCTCTGGTGTATTAGCTTTGCCCCATAATTTGGTATCATCAGCAAACTTGGAGAAGGTGCTCTCCAAACCCTCATCCAAATCGCTGATGAAGATATTAAATAACACCGGCCGAAGGACTGAACCCTGCAGGACCCCACTGCCCACCTCCTTCCAGCCCAAGAACGACCTGTCCACCACCACTCTCTGGGTGCGGCCAGTCATCCACGCTCCTGACTGTGTAGGCATCCACTCCACAGCCCCTTAGCTTCCCTATGAGAACAGGATGCGAAACTGTATCAAAGGCCTTCCTAAAATCCAGGTAGATGACATCAGCCTCAGCTCCTGTGTTAAGGCAGCGTGTGACCTGGTTATAAAAGGCTATAAGGTTTGTCAGGAAAGACATACCTGTGGCAAACCCATGCTGGTTTCCTTTCAGCATCGTTTCCCCTGCTGGGCCTTCACAAATGTGCTCTTTGATGATTTTTTCCAGTATTTTCCCAGGGATAGAGGTAAGACTGACTGGTCTAAAGTTACCCGGCTCATCCCTTCTCCCCTTCTTAAAAATGGGCACCTTAGGGACCTGGCTGGAGCACCATGAGTGCTCAAACAGCCATGCCAGTGGCTCAGCTATGACACTGGCCAATTCCTTCAGCATCCGTGGATGGAGGTCATTCAGGCCGGCTGACTTGTATTCATCCAGCCCTTCCAAATGCTCCTTAACTAAGTCAGCACTAACCTTTGGCGGTCTGGTGCCTTTTGGACATCTGTCTATGCTCAATGGAGGAATTGTCTTGGTCGGTACTTAGGAATACTGAAGCAAAGAACTCATTGAAGAGCTTCGCCTTTTTCCCTGCGTCAACCACCAACTGACCTGATTTGTCCTGCCGGGGCCCTATGTTTCTCTGCGCTTTCCTTTTGCTCGCTATGTATCTGTAGAAGGACTTTTTATTGTCCTTAATTGTTGAAGCCAGCCTAAGCTCCAGTCCTGCCTTGGCCTGCCTAACTAACTCCCTGCAATAGCGCATCAGGGGAGTGTATGCCTCCTTGGTGGCTGCCCCCTGCTTCCACTGCCTATAAATCTCTTTCTCTGCCCCCAGTCTTTCCTGGAGCTCCCTGTTCAGCCAAGGGGGCTTTTTTATCCCCTTACCCCCTTTCCTGTGTAAGGGGATAGACTCCTTTTGTACCCCAAGGATCACTCCCTTGAGAGACCTCCAACCCTCCTAGACTTCCGTTTGCTCAATGCTCTTGAGTTCCGCCACCTTACTAACTAGGTTTCAAAGTTTACTAAAGTTGGCCCTTCTGAAGTCTAACACTTTAGCCTCACTGGATATTTTTCTCACCCTTCGCTGGATAGTGAACTCGACCAAGTGATGGTCACTATCTCTCAGGCTACCATCAACTTGCATGTTCCCCACAAGATCATCCCCTGTTGCTAAGACCAGGTCTAGCAAGGAAGTACCCCTGGTGGGACTGGACACCACCTGGGCTAGGTGGAGGTCCTGCACACAGTGTAAGAACCTCCCTGAGTGGCTGGTTTTGGCCGCCTGTTCCTCCCAGCAGATGTCCAGGTAATTTAGATCCCACATGACCACTGCTTCCCTCGCCTGTATGGCATCTGAGAGCTGCCTGGGGAATACCTCATCAAGCTCATCATCCTGGTGAGGAGGTCTGTAGTAGATCCCCACTACCAAGTCCTTTTCCCCTGGCCCCCCCTGGATCCTGGCCCACAATGCCTCGGTATTCCCCTCCTCCACTCCAGCCTTGATGATGGAAGATGTGTACTGCTCCTTAACATAGAGAGCTATACCCCCGCCTTTTTTTCCCACTCTGTTGTGTCTATACAGCCCGTACCCCTCAATGCCTACCACCCAGTCGTGCGTAGAAACCCACCATGTTTCAGCTCAGCCGACTAAGTCATACTGTGTGCTAGCAAGTAGGCGTGTGAGCTTCTGCTTATTCCCCATACTCCTGGCATTTGTGTAAAGACATTCTAGCCCCCCAAAGGGTGCTCTTAGTGCCCCTTTGCCTTGATGGCTTGTGTTCCCCTTAGTGCTTACCTGGTTAGGTCCAGTGCCTTGTTTGTGACTTTCCAACTGGGTTCTCATCAACTACCGGTTCCCTGCCCCCCATTGAACCTAATTTAAAGCTCTTCAGAGGAGATCAGCCAACCTGTGGGAGAACAGATGCTTACCTTTAGGAGAGAGATGAAGATCATCCCATCCTAGGAAGCCTTCTCCCTGGAAGTGCTGGTCATGGTTGTAGAATCCGAAGCCCTCCTGAAGACACCATCTCTGGAGCTGCCAGTTGACTACCCTGATGCAGGCATCCTGGTGCCTCCGGCTGCTGCCAACTGGAAGGATGGAGGAGAATACCACCTGTGCCCCTGACTTTCTGAGCCCAACCCCCAGCTCATGGAAGTCCTTCATGACGCGGTCAGGACTACCCCCAGCCACATCATTAGCGCCCACATGGACAAGGACCAGATGCACTGGGGAAGCAGATGCCAGGTCCTGCTTCCTGGGTCTGGAGATGGCAGTCTTCCACTTCTCTGCTGCAGATTCCTCTTGTGGGGTTTCACCCATAGGCATCGGGAGCTGTAAGGAATGGAAGTACCCAGCATTCACAGCCTCATCCTCCCTGATCCCCCTCAGCCTGCTCACCGCCTCCTAGAGTTCCCTCACCTGCTCCTCCAAGGCCCGAAGGTGGACACATGAGGGACAGGTGAGGGCCCTCCCCCCGCCCCCGATGATAGGGTCCCCACCAGGTCGCCCCTGCAGACAGTGGGGCAGGGCTCTGTCTGGGTGGAGACCTCCAAGGAGCAACCCATGCCCTTACCTTAGCTGCAGAGCTATAAGTCCTCATCACTCCTGTTGGGTGCTCCTTCTTGTCACCTTCTTCTGTGCGCCTGCCTAGCATGAACACCTGTGCAAACGCAGGCACGACCTTACAGAGCACGCTTGTTTGCGCGCTCTGTTCATGCGCGCAGCTCCTTGCCAGCTCACTTAAGAGAGCTCCAGGGGGGCTTCCCCTCCAGATCCTCTGCAGCTGTGCTGGCCCTCTGCCCCACTTACCTGAAGGGTAGTCTGCTGCCGCCACCTCTGCTGCTGCTGTTGGTGAGTCCAGGGGGCGCACGTGCGCCCACTCTGTTCTCAAGCCCCAATTGCTTGGGGCTTGACCAAACCACAGTTTTTAAGGGCTGTGCTTTGAATTTCCCGATGCCAGCCCGGCAGCCAATCAGGTGGCTCCGAGCTGAGTCAGCCAATCAGGGCCTCTCCGGGCTTCCCCAGAAGGGCCTGCAGGCTGCCCCGCTTGCTATGTCTCCCTCCCCATGAGGGAGAGCCCCAGCTCCTGGGGTGGCTGCAGCCACTGCCCCAGGGATCAGCCTCCGGGCTGTGCCCTCTCACCCATGAGAAAGTGCTCCCCCCAGCCTGCTCCCTGCCTGCACCCCACAGAGCATTCCTGTTTGCGTACTCTGCGCACGCGCGGCTCGGGAGTGTGGCTCCCT